TCTCTCTCTCTCTCTCTCTCTCTCTCTCTCTCTCTCTCTCTCTCTCTGTGTGTGTGTGTGTGTGTCTGTGTGTGTGTCTGTGTGTCTGTGTATGTGTCTGTGTATGTGTCTGTGTATAGGTAAGATATTTGTTAAAGTGTATTTTCCCCCTGGAAATTTTAGTTGTTTCTTAAATCATTTGAATCTCGCTTTCCCCATACCTACAATGAAAAACTGATAAAAACACAATAATACATTAATGTAACATGATTTAAAAGAATGGAAAGGGTGCTTAGTGGAAGGCACGCTTCAGGCACTCACTAGACTAGATGCTCAGGGATGGTGATGTGGGGTGAGAAGGACCAGGAAGTGATGATTTCCTGAGGACTCGTCCAGCTGATATTAGCTGCAGAATCAGAGCCAAGTATGAAGTGGAGGTATTTGCCAGCTTGTGCTATGTCAATATGGTTGTGGTACATCAAAATGTAAATTATGCTGGCTCAAATCAGGGAGCGTTGAGCAGCAGAGATAGAATCAGTCAGCGTTCCGAATCCTTTATGATTTTTTCAGTATCCCATCCTATGCAAATTGGAAAAGCCACTGGCCCCCCTCAGGCTGCCTCACACAAGCTTTCATTTCTAACTATTTCTGGAAGCTCGTGCTTCTGGTTCTTAGAGAATTGTAATGTCATCTTATAAGAGTGTTTTTAACCTCTGGCCTTAGCTTTTGATGGCTTCTGCCAACCACTTATTTTTCTTCCTCCTTAACAAGTATTAGTCTATCATGTTGGGACGTCCAGAGACTAGAGTCAAAGTCCAGCTCTCACATATTAACATTCTACAACCCTGTTTTATTTTTATTTCTTGTCTTCTGTTCTCGTCATTTCACAACTTACTGACAAACAGGTATTGACAATTCTTGACGGGTTAGAGGTGCTTTTAGTTTCTGGGAATGAAAATAAACTTTCTAAGCTTACTCTCTGATCTTTCTACTTTTGCTACTTCCATTTCATTATCTCTCTAATTTACCTAAATGACATTGCTATGATGCCTTGGGATTTCAGTAAAATAAAGTTGCTTGAGACATGCAACCAACTGCTGCTCATTTCTACGCGTTCACCTCAGCTAATGGGAAGAATCTAATGATGAATCTCTATTGCTTCCTGGTTGGAAAGTTCATTTTACACGTACTCCCCTGCCAACGTTTTCAAGGTCATGTATATAAATACCTTATAAGCCATTGAATAAAACTTTTTTATTTCAATGTCTATATTTTGCCTTCACTTTTTCACAAAGCTTCTTTGAAAACTAAGCCCATGCACTCCCCGAAACTCTTAAGCTGACAGGCAGTTGAAAGCCAGAGAAGAGCCATAGTAGCAAACTCCATAACGTCTCAAAACTGATCAAGAAAGACATTTCTCTGGAGGCTTTTTGGTTTAGTTTTGGCTTCAAGAAACCTACTCTCATACAAAACTGTTGGTATTCCTTGAATATGCTTAAAATCAATGAGTTAAAAATGTGTCAGTTATTGCCCCAAACCTCCCTAGAGTAAATGGTTTAAAAGGGTTCTTCTCATTGCAAGGCAACAACAATTTTTTTCTCTTTCCAAGGAGAAAAAAATTTCAAGCCCATGAATCCACTTATCAGTAAAGAAGATTAATCTCATCCCAGAAATGGGCAGGCAGCTTGGTGTAAGGTATGGAAAGGTTTGAAATGGTTAAGGCAGCCTCCTTCCTGACAATGAGAACTCTTCAGAATGCAGAAATGAACACTGTTCACTGTTTATTGCATTCCAGTGAGCATGAGGCTAGATATCCAGTCTACTGCAATGCAGTGTGATGGCCTCGGGAGAGAGTTTTGAGCAGTGTAGGTGTCAATATTAGGACTCTCCCTCCCACCCCCTGCAAACTGGAAGCCACACAGACCCGTAGCACAGAGTCTAAGACAATGGTTCTCACCCTGTGGGTTGCGACCCCAGAACAACTGTTTCACAGGGGCCTCATATCAGATATTCTGCATATCAGATATCCAAATTATAGTTCATACCTGTAGCAAAATTACAAAGCAGTAACAGGATATTTTTATGATTGGGGGTCGCCACAACATGACAGATTGCATTAAAGGGGTCACAGTATTAAGAATTTTGAGGAACCCTGCTTTAAGGAAAGGACAGCCATTAGAAACAGAACACATTAGTTTTATGGGAAAATCTTTTGCCTGGAAAGCCCACCGCTGTAGCACACATGTATTGTAAAAAAGGATGCCTGCCACAGAGGATCTAGCCAACTCTCTCATTTGATGTCTCCCTGCTCAGTCCTTGTATAATTCAAAAGAAGTACCTCGTACATGACTAGAGCAGGGGTTCTCAAGCTGTGGGTCTCGAACCCTCTGGGGAGCCACATATTGGTTCTCTTTCACATCAGATATGTGTATTCATAGTCATAACAGTGGCAAAATGACAGTTATGAAGCAGCAACAAATTAATTTTATGTTTGGGGGTCATCACAACATGAGGAACTCTCTTAAAGGGTCCCAGCATCAGGAAGGTTGAGAACCACTGTACTAGAGAATTTTATTGAAGCCTTAGAGTAGTGAATGTGGATCAAAGGTAGAAAAAGTTGTAGAGTTTACACTTACGCTTTCTTATGGACATACAGCCCCTTGGCACTTAGAATTGGAAATGGAGTGGGGAAATATTTAACTGAGATAATAGAGGGACTGATGAGAGTCTTGAGACAATTATAACAGAGGGTTATAAAACTACTTCTGAAGGTCATTGGTGCAGATAACATTTTTACCGTGCCAACCGAGTATAAGGTTATGAGGTGAGCAAGTTCCTCATTAGGTCCTTTTCTTGAAACAAACACTGGCTTTTAATGAGTGTCGTTATAGCATACAGGTTGGCCGGCTTGACATAAGAATAAGATTTAACAAAATAGTCATTAAAATAAAAGCAACTACTTTAAAGTCTGAGATGAAAGTCTAGTGAGTCCTTTTAAGAAATCTCAGACATTGAGAAGATGGTGTTAATCAGCAAGTTTGATATTTTTTTCTTAGAAGGAGAATTCCAATTTCCTTTTTGAAAGTTAGCCTCCTGGTAGGTGGGCAAGATGATACTTTATTGTGCGTAGTTATTATTTGAGAGCAAGGCCTCTGGTATAAAGACCATAACACATGAGGCAGAGGACTATGGTTCCTGTCATCTCCTGTCCTAGCAGGAGTGTGACCTTGGACAGGACATTCATGTATGTTATTCCTGAGCTTCCTCATTGGTGATCCCTGACAACACCAGAGACTGGTATTTAATGCTCTTTCATTCCCTGGCATTCTATTTGATTATTCTTTGTAAAATATTTCAGACCCCAGGGTCATACACATAGTAGACAACTGCTCTGCCACTGGTCTATTCTCCTAAAGCCCCAGAATTTCACTTTCTGCGTATTAAAATCTGTTTTTCCTCATTTTTAAAAGCTTTCACAGAGCTTAAATTGTTAGCAACAATGTCAAAGCATCAACATAAATCATTCTCAGGTAGAAATGAGGAATTCTATTAGCTGACACAGCAAATGGTCATCTTGTCCTTTATAGAAGTTTATGATTAATATCCATACTGACTTCTTAGAGTCCAATTGGTAAACCTGCTCTCCATCCCCCACTTACTGCACTTCTTGTTTGGTTCATAGATTTGGAGATAGGCATGAATGTTTGTTCTCTCTGCACAGTATTCCATACAATTTTTTTTAAAAAAAATAATTTCCTTCTAAATATAACATCATCCTTGTTATTGTAAGTCTGTGTTATATCTGGCATTGCTACATTAATTTACTCCTGGATCACACATTTAACCATTAAGGAAATTTAGAAGGTTGAAGCATGGTGACAATATGACTTCACGATGACATGAAATACCAATGTATGGTCAGCTAAGTTTTCCCTTGACTGATGTGATTGTACAGCTATTCAGACTGCTTCAGTAACACAGAGTGTTCATACAACAGGAGATCTGAGCAGCGAATCCAAGTTTAATGTAAACAAAACCCAATTCCTGCACTTACATTCCCAAACTGAAATTAAACATGCAGAGACAGAAATAACTTGTAAATTTGTATGTCATTACTTCTCTTAAGATAACAATTTAAGTTGTGTATTAGTAATTGGATATGTGGCTGAAACTAGTTGAGGAAAATACTAAAGAATTTGATCTTTATAGTTTTCAGGAAGACACTGATTATTATTTGAAAGCTCATTATTAAGAAAAAATGTTATAATATTATGTACTCTTTTCCTTGGGGAAACAGAGAGGAGGAAGGTCTTCCTAAAGTTTCACACTTCAATATATGAAGATTCATTAGTCTCAAGATACCAGCATTGGTCCCCTGTACCAGCAGCGGCTATAGATGAATTGGTCAGTAACTTAAGAATAAAAACAAATCAGGGTAAAACATTTCTGTATGGGGAAAGAGACTCGAGCTACGCGGAACATATTTTAGAAATGACATTTTGCTAAAAAGATTTTGACTCACAGCTTTCTACCGACTACACATTTTCCCCTTCTGCTTTTCAGGGCTCAGCTCTGAAAGCAGTCAACAGCTGGCTGAAGATGCCAAGGGTTCCCAGTCTCCTACATGACAGTCGCAGCAGCCTCTTACCTGGACCAGGAGTTGTAGTTACCGCCAAGGCATGATGCTGTTCCAGCCAGGCTAGGAGACGAATCTGTCCGGTTAGCGTCTCCAAAATCTCAGTTCACATTTCTGGCTGAGGTCACGAGCTCTATTCTAAGCAGTTCTCCTTAAAGCAGTGTGTGATTCTAACAAAAACACCCTTTGCAGCTGGAGGGAGCCTCAGCTAAACGCCGGATCCTGTCAAGGCGTTCCTAGTGACTTCTGTCTTCTAAATGCAGACTGATGTTTTGCGAGAGGGGGCCTCCACAAGCAGGCCCAGATTGCCTGCAAAGTATTTCCTGCCTCTGAGAAGTTTGCATGTGAGAAAGCCTGCACGAAGCCGAGGGGAGGGGCAGAGCAGAGCTGCCTGGGCGTTGAAGCTCTGATTTTACACAGAACTGAAGTGAGTTTGTCAAAGCTCTTGAGATGATTAGCTAGCGTCAGAAAGTCCTAGAGTCCTTCCTATCCCACAGGGCTCATGGAAAACAAGGAAGAAAGAAAGCGCAGCTCTCCCGTCCAAATACAGCATTTCTACTGTGCTAAATGGAGAACACTTCTGTTAACTCTCATTACAAAAGTTTTCTGAGACAGTTAGATGAAGGCTGAGCCTTTTATACCGTAATTCTTCTAAAGTTTAGAACCTTAAAAAAAAAGTACCTTAAAAATTTACATCCTGAACTTGAGAAAAATCTATAAGTAAAATTCCGAGAATCCAGGAAGCAGAGCATTTTCTTCTTCTCTTTCATCCCAGAATTCTTAACAGAACATAGTGGTTTGTGTTACAGCACATGAAGCCTCCTTACCTCCAGTCAGGGATCCTCCAGTTACAGACAAGCACAGCTGGAAAGGCTGGAAAGGTTGGAAAGACAGAAGGCAGACTCCATCTTGATCAAGTTAGAGTCCCGCTGACATGAAACACTTGCGATGCTTCCTCCGGCATGGCGGAGGCTCTCAATCACATCTCCAAAGTGGCTAGCAGAGTGTGCGCATCCTTCCCCAGACAGCTTGTGAACTCTCAACTGTTTATCTTTTCTGCTTTTGTGCCTCCACTGCATGACTTCCTCCTAGCTGCTTCAGCCTGGGAGCTTGGACTACCATTTGGTTTTGATTAAAACCAGACAGCCAACTCTGGAGAATTTAGGGAATAAGCTAATGGAAACTGAGAATATGGCTTTAATTAGTGCATCAATTAATAATAGATGTTAGCTTGTCTTATAATAAGATGTCACAAACTCAGAGCTCAAATCATTTCTGGAAAGAATTCGTACCAAGTCTCTTTTATGACCCAGAATTCTCCCTCAGGGAAAGTGCAAGGGTAAACTGGACTGTGGCCTTGGGAAATGTAGGTTGTGGCCAGGCCAGTGGGACAGCTTCCTTGTTTATATCAGAGGAACAGGAAACAGCATCTGTCCATTTATCTTATTTGCTTGAAACTACTCAGTAATCTTTCCCTTTCATTTTAGTAACATTAAAAGGGTTCATTCTATAGCTCTTGGTGACTTAAACAGCCCTTTTTGCTAAAAAAAAACCTGATTCGTGATTAGATTAACCTAATTATTGATTCTGTGTGAGGGTTTTACATTTTTAGCTTGTCGATAATGTAAAATGTAAGAATAATTCCAATATCCAAGTAAGAAATAAGTATAACACCACATAACGAGATGCAGGAGATAGTTAGCCTGCATGTCTCAACAGCTGTCCTCTAGTCTGAAATGTAAGTGATTTTTCATTGTTTACATATATTCTCAGGTGGTCTTAATATCTACAAATGCATGCAGGCCCTCTAACATCATAATGGCCATCTTTTACTTTTGCCTGACAACACCGTGCAGGTGATAACTTGACAAAGTATGATGTCAGAGCTACTGCCTCTTTCTTCACTGGACAACTGACATATCTCAAAAGCAACAGAAAGCACAAGTTAGAGAAAAGTCAAATAGCAAAAACAGACTTAAATCCTACACAAACTGGAACATGAGATGAATTCTAAAATAAACATACTAGCAGGGCTTGCCATAGTGACAAAGGTCTGGAACCCCAGCTCTTGGGAGACAGGATAGGAATACAAAGTTAGCTTATTCTTCATAGAAAGACCAAGCTAACAAGAAAAAGCAAGGTTGACGAGAGATCCCAGTCACTGAAGTTCTTGCCACTCTGAGTGATTCAAGGGCCTGAGTGCAATCCATATCCAGAACCCACTTAAAAATAGTTGGGTACGGCAGTGCATGACTGTAATACGAGCACAGGTGAGGCAGACACAGCTTAATTTTGGGAGCTCACTGGTTAGTCCTACTGAATGGATTTGAGGAGAGAGAGAGAGAGAGAGAGAGAGAGAGAGAGAGAGAGAGAGAGAG